GTTGCTTAACTCAGCTGAGTGATAATCAAGCCAATCAGGCTTGTGGCACTGGGCTCTATGGTCACTTTGGGCCTGTGATTTGGCAAGGCATGATTGGGCACTAAGTAGGAGCTGGGAAATCTGCCTCAGTTCTCTCCTCTGCTGGGGGCTCCTCGGGGGACACTGGGCATGTTCTAGGATGGGATTAACAGCAGTGGTAGGAGGCACTTTTTGGGGACTGCCCTGTGCCCACGTAGGAATAGCTATTGGCTGAAAACACCTGACTGGGAGGTACTTGATACACTTCAGGTTCCAGCCAACAAAAGTGGCACATGTCAGAAAAGCAGGAATGAACTCCTGACATTTCTGGAATATGTTAATTTAGGTCTTTTGCCAAAGAGGAGGGAAGAAAACACTACAAATGAGTTAATTTTTGTGGTTGTGCTGCCATCACCTGCTTTTAACATAATCCCCTTATAGTTAGTTTTTATATCAAGGATACAAAAGATCCAAGTTGAAACCTGCCTGACCCATTGAGAGAGGGGAATTGGCTTGAGGTGCCCTATTACTGTGATTATTACTGGATTTTAAAGCCCTTCCTGCTGTCTTTCTAGTTCAATAAGTAACCCAATGGATTTAAGAAAGTGAGCAGAGGGTGTCTTGATTTCCTTTGCATCATGAGAGCAGTGGAAGGCCATGGTTTTATTTATACAAGGGAAATAACTTTTCCTGTCAATTTAATAGACAATCTTGGAAAACCTGCTGCAGGTTATTGGTGAGATTTTTGTCATGATTTTCTTTTTTTCTAAATTGCAATCACCATTTTAATCAAAAATAAAGGAAGAAATTTTTTAAATACAGTTGCAGGTTGTAGTGTAACTCAAACTCTCAAGGGCATCAGTGGGGGGGATAGTAGAGTCTTTCAGCAGTCAGATTTTGCCTTTGCTGCCAGAAAGGTGTATTTTTTTATATCCAGTGTAATTAACACGAGAGCTATCCCAGGGTAGAAATAATTCACTCTGTGACATAACTGAAATGTCTGTGCTGTCTGGTTTTGTTTTTAACCTTGGGCTTAAAAGGAACCAAAAATCTTTAGTTGTAAAAGAGGCACATCATCTGCAAAATATTATAAGCCATTTATCTTTGAGCACAAATGCCATCTAGCAGTGCAGCTCCACTTATGCGTCATTAAATGCACAGACCACACTCATTTTGCCCCTAACTAGGAACAGCCTCCCTCAGAAACCCTGGGTATTCCAAAGAGCACTGGAAGAGGCACAAAGGCAGGGCTCAAACGGGGCAGGGAGAGGGCCCCTGCCCTCCCCGGGGAGTGCTTGGGGTTGCTCTCACGTAGGGCTGGCATTCCATACTCTGGCATTCCATACTCTGGCATTCCATACTCTGGCATTCCGTGCTCCCCATCTCCCACTTCTCTGTGCCGTGCTGGGGTTTGCAGATCCAAAGGCTTTGGGAAGGGCACGATGATGTGGCAGCTGTTCTGCCTCTGGCTGCAGAGCGCTGGCCAGGTGGGGTGCCAGTGGTGTCTCTGAGCTGTGTGTCTGGCAGCCCCTTCCCTGCCAGCAGTGCTTTCTGCAGGCACTGTCTGAGGACCAGGACGAGTGTCTGGGGTGCCTGGGTTGCAGCAGTAAGGGCTGGTTTGGGTTTGGGTTTGGTGCTGTGCTGGTGGGTGCAGCACTAGCAGGGATGTGGCTGGCTGGGTGCCACGGTGACCATTGTCCCCTGCTGCCTGAGGACCTTCCAACGGGGAGAAAATGGACCCAAACAGCAAATACACTATTTTGAGAGTAAGGATTTTCTGACAGCCCTCCATGTGAGTGCTCCTGTCCTGTAGGTAAGAGCCTGGGTAAGTCATTCCAGCTGAAGACTTGCCCCAGTAACTGCTCTTGCCAGACAAGCCCTCATTCACAGTCAAAGGAGGTTTCTTCAGCTTTGGGCAGATGCCAAGTTAAACTTCCACTAAGATTTCTTATATTTGCAGCCACGATTGATTACTTTTCTCATTATTTGATCTTGATATAGAGACATACGGATTGAGCTATGTTTATATTAACCCCCAAAGATTTTTTTCTTTGGGAACATCCATCACAGTTGCACACAAACTGTTCTGCTCTGGCACTCGTAGCTGATATTAGCTGGGGGTTTTCAAAGCTTTTACATGTGGCAGTTGGTGTGGATCCTCCTAAAGAGTCCCAGTGTTCCCAGCTAAGCAAGAAAGCAACAGTGGTTTGTTAGATGCACAGAAAAAAAGCATACAAAGAGCTCTGGAGAGTTTGGGGCTTGGCTGTGCATAAACCTCATCGTTGGAGAGGATTTTACAAGTCGAATCCAGAGAATTCACCAGTTACTAACTTTATGCATGCAATAAAAATTCTGAGGGAGGGGGGAAAAATCCCACCCTTCCTCCTTCCTCCCCCCTGATTTTCAGGGAATTTAATGTTAGAACTTCTAAGGGAGGAAGAAGTTCGTGGATGTGAAAAATGCCAGAATTAATTGCCATTCAATTTTAATTATTTCTGATGTAACACTTTATTCAGCAACTGTTTTTATTGTTTTCTACTTGGTTTTAAATCAGTGGTCTGCAGATTCCTGGGGTTCTTGGACAGCTTGGGATGCCTTAAAGTTATCTTAAGAAAAGCAGGTCTGTTGTTGGTGCATTTGAGTTCCTTGTCCAAGGGTCTGCTCCATGCCAGGAAAATATTTTATGTGTGCACAAGACTCAAAGATTGAAAGTAACTGTTAGACTGAAAATGCTCTGAGAGGCTGTTTCCCTAGAGAGAAGCTTCTAATGAAACCTCTTGTTTCTGTTTTTGGTTATTATTTCCAATTAGTTAGACCTTGTCATTCTTGGTTAAATCTGAGTTGATGGAGGGGGTGGAGTGAGAACTTCCACCCTTTCTCCTTCTCTCCTCCTGTCTCTCCAAGCAGGTAATTTGCCCCCTCCTCATTTCTGTGCTTACTTTAGGTGAACTGCCTGATCAAACTCTCCAAAGTGTTGGAACAGATAATTGTGTTCATCTGTTGGACATACTTACATAGATAGCAGGACATGGTTATTAACCCATTTTCTGTACAAGGCTGAATTCCACGAGTACTTTGGGGTAAAAAGTACTTAGAGGGTGGGGTAGGTTTCCCATGGTTTCTCAAAAACAGATGTAAATGCTACTGCCCTTCATTTCAGCAGTCTGTAGCTTTATTTCTGGGCAGTTTACATTAAAGAGGTTTATAAATAACTCCCTACTTTTTTTGTAGCGTTTGAGGGCAGATGCCAAATCCACGTGCAATAGGCAGAAGGTGGGAAGTTAAATGCTGTTGGTGGTGTGTTATTGCTGTCTCAGTTGTCCTGTGAAAGTTGTCCTTTCCCTGCAGTGCAGAGGTCTTTGGAGCAACATCAGGACAGAGGGGCAGGAGTAGCATGCCAGGGGTGGGGACTGGCCCCCAGTCACCTCTGGGCTGCAGAGCTGTGTGTGAGAGCTGTGTCACATCTTTCCTTCCATCTGGCACCCTGGTTCCTGTGCCAGCTGGTGATGGGCTGAACAGGGAACCCTCCTGCCTCCAGCAGCACACTCACTCAGTTGTAGGACTTTGCTGTTGCCTGTTCTTGGCTTTGGAAACTTTCCTCTGTGGGCACTTGTCTGGCAAATTGCCTGTCTGGGGCAGGTGCAAGGCAGTGGCACTGAGCTGCATGGGCAGAGGGATGAGGCAATTGAGTCTTCACTGAGGGCAGGACTCTGGAAAGGTTTCTGTGTGTATCTTGGTGTCCTCTGATCAAAAGGTTTGCAAACTGGTAGTACGAAGGGACTGGTGGAAAATTACAAGTGTTTGCAATCGGTTTGCATCAATCTCGTTGGGGTGTTGTGCTGTTGTGCTGATTTATTAACACGATAACTTCTGGCACTGGTGCAAAAAGACAAACAATCCTCAAGATCAGCCTGCAACAATTCAGTATTTTTGGTCAGGCTTTGGTACCCACTAGAACATCAGTCTTGGAAACAGGACTGCTGAGACTCCCTGGATCTTGTTTAATAAAATCACGTAGTGAGGGCATCGTGATTATAAATCACACTTGGAAATTGGCCTGCAGGGTCCTTGCTGGGTCATGTGGTGTCGTGTGCCACCACTGTTCCCAGCTTATTTTTAATTTCCGAAAAGAAGGCATATAGCAGCAGCTGGAGCTGGAAGTGGAATTCATTCAGCTGCTCCGAGAAAGCCACTGCCAGCAAAAAACAGCAGCTCAACAGTGTTGGGTCGTAGAGAGGGGAAAGGGATCCAAGTGACTGGAGCTGGTGTAATGAGAAGGAAAAGAACCAAATGATTTGGCAGCATGTGAAAGAGGTAAGGATGTGGTAGAGAAAGGAGCAGGAGGAGCTGAAATGAAGAGCAGGAGTAAACAATGTAATTTAACTTATTCAAAAGGGACAGAATGCTTATTAAAGCTCTGAGAGATGATGAATTAGTGTTTTGCTGCTATTGTTGTTTCAGATAGAGTTGTCATGTGGTAATGCTGCAGCAGTGAAGGCTGGAGGCTCACGGATTCGTAGAGGGGAATGGAAAGTGGGATATGTGGTTACATGATTGAAAGTTGAAGCTGATGAGGCAAAATGCACAGCCCTGACTCGGGAGCGCGTCCTTACACGTGTGTGCTGGTCCCGGGAAGCTGCCACCACAGCAGAGAGGGACGGCTCCAAAGGTGTTCCCCGCTGCTGGGAAGGCGTCTGCCACGCCGGGAGCTGTTCCTCGGTCGGGAGGAGCTGTCAGAGCCCTGCTCTGGCTCCTCAAACCCTTGTCTGGGGCAGCCCCGGAGCCCTCACCTGGAGGTGCTCCTTGGCTGCTCCTCCCGTGGCAGCACCACGGAATATCAGGAGCTCCTTTGAGGCGCTCTGGCTGTGAGGTTTCCCCCTGAGGAATACTGGGCTGGGGGAGGGAATCTCGAAATGATTCTTATCTTACATTACACACAGTCTCTTGCATTACTTACTGTGGCATATTGTTTCCTCCCACAGAGTTCTGCTCAATCGCTTTCAGGAAGAGGCTACTCCGTAAGTCATTTTACAGCTAATTCTTTCACTTCTGTTGATGTTGATTGCAGAGGTTTCCACCACCTATTGCACAGCCACTGACATGAAAGAAATGCTGAACATAAGTAGGGCTGGAGCACAGGGCTGTCATGCACCTGCCAGGGGACAGCCCTGACGTGTGAGAAAGCATTAAGAGCCTGGGGGCTTCTTAATTTAATATCATACTTATAGAGAGGGGGTGTTTTTTGTTAGTTTATAGTGTATTTCACCTAGATAGTCACCTCTGGAGAATTAAAAGACCTGAATGGGGGGAGAGTTTTCAACACCAGTGGGAGATGCTTCCCTCCTCTCCTCCCTCCCCCATACAGCTTTTCATTTGTGTGTTAAATACAAGAATCAAGTACACAATTGCTCCCATTTTAAGAGGAATTGTGACCCTCACCATTGTGAACAAAAAAAGAAGTCAGAATTCCCTTTTTTACAGTCTCTGAGTTATAAGACAAGCTCCCTTGCTTTTAGAGGAGGGCGTTGCTGGTGTTTTCTTCACAGAAGTGCTGTAGGTACCAGTGTTCTGGGGTGGTGTTGCAGGACCAGGACACATCTGCCTGTGTATGACATGCACCAACCTTGTTTAATTGTCCATTCTGTTCACATGTACCTTATTTGTATGTGCAATAATGACGTTTCTTCATGTAGAGGTGGTATAATTTGTTTATTTTGGGTACATTTGCTGCTCAGCTGTCCAAAAGGGCAGGCACAGACAGGCTTGTGTAGAGTAACAGGGAAATAGGAGAGGGTGTGAGAGGCTTAGCAGTGTCAACATGAAAATTCCTGGAGTCACATTATATCTGACTCTCATAACAAATGTATGGTGTGGAGATATGATACCCTGGTTGTCCAGCCAATTAGTCACATGTACCCTTATTGCCAGTGCAAAGGTTGTAGGTGAAGGTGTGTGCTAATCCTGTGTGCAAATCTGAATGTGAGTGTCTCAGTCCAGCAAACAGGTCCTGCCTACACTTATCGACAGTAATTGCTGTTTTCACAACCTCTGCCATGATCAAGTTTTGCCTTCTAGGTGAGTGGTCCCAGACTGTTTCTTACAGAGAGCTGTAACTGCTCACTCTACACAGGTCAGAAAAGGATTTTATGTACTTCAGGAAGTTGTTTTGGAGACCTGGTACACTTTTGGTGTTTTTTTAACAGTAATCACAGAAATTATTTAATTATTTTCTTTCAGTAATTTATGTTGTATGTTTGGAGGTGTATGATGGAACTTGTGAGCTTTTACCCTCAGCTGTGCAAAAAAATAAGAAACTGGTAGGCAGTGCAGAATTTCTGGTCTGATCTCATAGTGACACTGCTTCATGCTATCATACCTATTATCAGAAATTCATAATTCATTATAAAACCATTACAAAATAACATGACTTGAAAAGTCTTACAGTTTCAATGAAATAATGCCACAAATTTTTAGACAGTAATTACATGTCTGTTAAGTATCCTCCTGTCTAAATCTTCCCAGCATCCCAGGTGAGTATCAATACTTAACTCACTGAGTGATGAGGAGTGTGTGCTCTAGGACACTGAGTGCTGCTTCCCATACACATGGACAGTTGGATTCACCTGAGCTTCTAAAGGCAGAGGCTGTATCTTCTCTTTGTCTGTAAAATGCCATGCACGCCCATGGCACCACATAAATAGTAATGAATCAGCTTCACAGATTTTATGACTGAGGGCATGGTTTGGGAACTAAACAATTTCCCACTGGCTATAACATAGGTTGCAAAATCTTAATGGAAAAAGGCCAAAGAATTCTTTTCAGAGTCTCGAGGCTAATAAATCACAGGACTGTTTTCTTCCATTGCTGGCTCTTCAGAAATTTACTTCTGTTTCTCAGATAAATGATTTTGAGAACATTTCCAGCTCCTTCTCTGTTGCATGTGTGAGGACAGGGTTCTTTTATTTCACCACCCCATAACTTCTCAAGGGAGGTGAGAGCTTTCTGTGTGCCAAGGCAGTGTTTTGAGATCACGAATAGCGTGAACTGGGGTTGCTTTTCTGTATGGATTGTCATTCTCCCTGTTAAACTGCCTTCTGCCTCACCATGTACCAGCTGTTGAGGCTGACCATGTCCCTCAAGACTCTGATGCTGCTCTAAATTGATATAGCAGGAGGCAGAGACTGTCACTTCCAGCCCTGCCAGGCCCTGCTGGCCCAAACTCACGTTGGAAGCCGATTCTCCCTGGTGGCACAGAGATGTTCAAACCCCCAGTTCAAGACAACTGGCCCCCCACCAGGAGTTGTCCATAATATCTTGTAGCAGCTTTCATTTTCTCAGGGAAACAGCTGTATACGAAACACTGAGTTACTACTTTGGCTGTGCCCCCTGTTCACATCAAACAGGTTGTTTGCCAGAGATGGTGAAAGCATGATGAAAACACAGTGCTCCAGGATGCACAGTGGAGACTGCAGAGTGTCCCTGCTGGTTTTACAGTCTCTGTACATATCGTGGACAATTTCTTAAAAATCTATTTCCCCAAAGTAAAGTTTGGAATGGCATTTACTTTCACTCGGATAGCATGAGACATATCTCTGTCTGTACTGTTTCTGCAAGCTCCTTATCTCATCAATAGCATGTGTTTCATACCCTTATCTTGTTCAATGGATACTTCCTCTGTGCTGAGAAATAGAACACTAGTTTGTTTATGGAGGTTAATATCTTGTTCCTTTTATGACTCGATGGTTACATTTGTGTGATAAACTACTCCAGCCATTTGTCACACTTCCTGCACACACAGATGAGATTAGTGATCTTAGTCAGAGAGGTCTGTCTGTCCTCCAAGCAGACAAAACAGATTTTCTTCTTGGTAACAGGATGAGAGGCCTGTCTACCCGAAAATGCACTGATTTGTTAAAAAGCACGCAGAGAACCAGAAATTAGCTGTGTGTTGAGATTTCTGTGTCTCACCGATGCACATCCACCCTGTGGACCGTTTCTCAAATTTATTTCTGATAGTTTAGTCATGATAGTTAAGTTCTGACAGTTAAGTTCTAAATGAACTTAACATAGAAAGTAGTTACAATGAACGTAAGATCAGTACATACAGTTTGTTATTAATAGATAAAAAGTTGCAGTTGTTTATCAGGTTGAGCACACTGTACAGACGAACCCGAGCTGCAGTTGAACTTGACTGGGTTTTGTAGAGAGCATGGAAAAGGATAGAGCTGGGGAATATATGGCAGCTTAAAAAAAATAAACAAAAACCCTCTTCCAATAAATTATGTAGTTTATTTATAGAGCGTCTGTGCAGCTGTTCCTCTTCTGAAATGGAAGGGGCTAAAATGTGGGAGTGAATAAAAGAATAAACTTGAAAGCATATGGCAAATGGATAGCCAGTGAGCCAACCTGTCTGAGTGTGCCTTGGAACCAAAGTACAGGAGGATGAGACGTCTTTGTTTGGTTTTATTTGTTCTTGAAAGATTTTTTGTTTTTTAAAATAAAAACAGTAACATACACTTGGCAACAGCAGCAGCTGATTTTCATTCTGAGCTTCTGTAAAATATCAAAGTCTTTGTAGCCTAGTCAAATCCCTGGCAGCTCATCAAATGCTGTTGATTTTACATCTTCCTTGTTGAGTGCCGGAAACCGGTGTCTCAGATAACTCAGGCTGGAGCCCATGGATAGAAAGAAATGTGGTAACACCACAGGGCTTGCAGAGACTCCTGGGTCACCCAGAGTCAGCTCAGTGCTATCTGCAACCTTTGTTCCTCCTGCTTGGTGACGTAGCTGGAGAATGGTTCTCTCATCCCCCAGGTGAAGCTGAACCTGAGGTGGCCCAGGCAAGCACTGGGTAGGCTTTGAGCACCCTGAACCTGCCTGTACCCCAGTCTGCTCCTTCCTGACTGTCCCTCTCAAATTATCTTGTTGATTTTTGGAACGGGCTTTCCAGTTGCTGGCAAAGATCCTTACAACCCTCTGGGACCCCTCTCCTGTGCTGTGCATTTGATGTTGCTGCACAGTGGTCTGTTGCCCAGCACAGCTGCCCACAACCCTCTTACCCCTCTCAGACCTCTTGAGCTCGTGCCCATGAGCACAGTTGCCAGGACAGCCAGTTCTGAGCTGGAGTTGAGCTGCTTTGCAGCACTGAGGCAGAGACCAGCACAGCGAACTCAGCGGGAAGGAGGACTGCAAAGTGCTGGGCAATCACCTGCTGAGGAACTATTGACTCTTTGCAGGTTTATACACCCTGTAAAACTCTTTTCGTGGCCTGTTTCAGTTTTGTGCCAGCTCAGTGCAGTTCTGTGAGACCCTGAAGCAGATGGTCCCCTCTAAGGAGACTGTTGCCACGCCAGGAATCCTTGGAGCGGGAGCAGGTTCGTGGTTTCAGGGTAGTGGTTACAGAGGCTCACTGAAGATCATGCCAGCAGCATTCCCCTGATCCCCTCTGTGCTTCAAGGATGCTCTTGGCCTCTTAGGTTGGGACCAAATTACAGGATTTGGAAAAGTACCTTCAACATCATCTTTTCTGTACAGACCTTAAGTCAGTACCACTTCCTACACGGAGCATGGTCCAAGACCCCAGGGCATGATTATTTACCTTGACATCTCTGAGGTGGCCCTGGAGAAACTGTTGTCTGGAGAAGGATAAATTTCTACATAAAGATCAGCAATATTATTGCAGTGAAGCATGTAATACTTGTGGTTGGGAGTTCCTGAGTGTGCTGCAGCTCCTGGGGTGGAAGCACACTCAGTGGCCAGAGGCACACTGGGATTGTAACTAACGGGGTTTCTCCACCTGCCACTCTGTGACACACTCGTGAAAAATCTCTTCTCTAGGTAGGTAACGTTTCCAGGCTGGGCTGGAAAATTCACTGTATTTTAGAACCTCTGATAAATTAGCATTTTTCCTTGCCAAAAATCAATATTGGAAAGAGGGCTCTTGTTATGAATCTAAAACTCCTTGAGCTGGAGCCAAAGTTAAATGATAAAACTGAATTTAATAAGTATCTCCTCCAGT